CTTTTTTAAGGAGTTTTTTCTGAATATCCTTTTTTTCTTGTTTTTCAAGATTAATCATCATTAACTGCTTTTTGGACTAAAATAACATATTTTGATAAAGAATGGTAATTCAGATGATGAATTGTTGTCCTGTAAAATTAACTTACTTTAGAGTTTTTTTATTAAATGTGAGAAGGATTATTTTAAATTTTTTATTTTACCTCTTGGATATCTTGGTTCAGCTCACTGATTGTTTGAACTGTAAACCCAAAAATATTTATTAGATATTATATTGTGCACACTTAAGAGTCATTTATAACATGAGAGTGTGAATTTTGAAATAATTTGTGGTATTCAAACAGTGAGAGGCTTAGAGCCAGAAAACTCTGAAATAGGAAGTCGTCTTTTAGACTCAAATTATGACGTTAAATAGTCCAATGAACATGAGACACAGTAATTGTGCAGTGTAAATAGACCCACTGAACTTAATAAATGATCTAATTACTTGCTAGTGAAGCTATTTTCTTTGTAACAACATCAAATCCTCTTTAGTATTGCATTAATGTCGTCTTCCTATTCCACAGTTTTCGGTTACTACAGTATAGTTTTACAAATTTTGATCGTAAAATTGGGTTGACAAATAAACATCACAAATATCAAAGATCAACAAATATCTTCGAGTCCAATTTGAACTGTCATGTTTCGTGGGACACTCTGTACGCAAAGAGAATAGAATATATATTAGAGGGGAATTTATACAATCCCTCGGTATGAATTTTTTCAGTCCCTTTTAGCCTGAAAGGGAGTTCAAAGTGTGCAAATCATGTAAATGTTCACACATTATATGCAGTAGAGTACATTAATACTGTATGTTCCCTAGACTATCCATTTCAATTTCGAATTTTTTAAAGCTGTTATATTTATCATTTATATTTGTCTAAAGCAAAATTACATAAAACAATATAAAAGTTTGCAAACTAATACTCTTTTCTCTGGATATCGCATTTTATAATTGACAGGGTTTGCCAAAAAAAACAGGTGCAATACAAGACTTTTAGCATGAGTATAGTTTAGTTATTCAGAGGTGGTTTTCAGAAAAGGGGTTTCTTGGTCCCAGTCTAGTGTTTTTCGTTTTCTAAAAATGTGGTAAGATGACAGTACAGCAAGGCTTGAAAGATTTTCACACATTGCTTTGAAACTAACACTAGGTTTGCAGAACTTATGCAGTTTCTTTAGAATCGCCTTATTTGATGGTGAGATATATCCTCTTGAGCCGATTTCAAAAGGATGAACAGACACATCCCTAGTTGTTATATCTGTAATAAAATGTTCATACTTGTTCATCTTTTGAGCGTTGGCATTTTTGATATTTGTTTCCAATGGGACAGTGAGCTCAAAAATATCCATCTTTTCCTCCATTCTATCGATAATTACTAAATCTGGTTTCTCTGCGGTCACAAGGAGGTGGGGGGGAACAGTACCTCCCCCTGGAAGGGTATGGGACGGGATGTCGGCATACATCAGAAATCGGTCAATATCAATTAATCCAGTTATATATTTAATAAGATTGTTGTGCCTCCAAGTATATCTTTTTTGGTGTAGTGCAACCTTGCAGCCATTCAAAATATGGTTTGTAGTTTCTTGTCTTCTACCTTGCAATTCAGCGCCTGCCTGTAGACATAGTTTACAGAGATCTGATGCAGATTTTCCCCATTGTAGAAGGTTAGTTTGTGTTGGCAGGGTGTCCAAACAGGAGTTGAGTAGGAATTTCAGTGTACCTTTCTTCAGATTGAACATATAAGATTTCCAGATCATGTCAGATTTTTCAAGCATTGCCAGGCAGAGAAAATGTCCTTGTTTTATGAGTGTTTCTGTATGTTCTCTCCAGAAAGTTTCGTTTTCAAAAGATACTTTTTCACTGACAGTTGTTTTCATTTTTTTATAGGATTGATTTTTGGAAGCTTGGTCTTCCCACTCAGGCATTTCTGCTTGACCATAGTTCTCTAATGTGGCTTGTTGAAACATTTTTTCTGCATAGTCTGTGATGGAATTTTTGCGGTGCCAATTTTTTTCCCTGTCTAATTTAGATTGTAAGGCAGAGTTAACTGTTTCATCACTCAGTATTCTTATCCTAGTGTATGCTTGCGTCATAGTTGTTTTGTACAGGGTGGATATTGAAGTGATGTCTAGGCCAGGTTTCAAGTGTAGAGCAGCATTTGTTGCACAGGGAGGTAATCCAGCTGGTAATAATGAATTAGGTGAATAAAAAACTTCATTTGATTTATAGTTATAACGGAAAATCATCGTTTGTAAAGTGAAAGGCATAGAGTCTATGTGAAATTATGAAACCAGCCTATTTCATAATTTGGTTTTCTTTTAATATTAATTTTAGATTTTCTAAAAAGTGATGTTCCAGGGCCCAAAAGTTTATATATAGCACAAATATGTGAAGTACACCTGCAGCATGGAAACAGTACAACAAAATGGGCGTTTTACACTTTTTTGTAGTAAATAAAGTCTATTCTCTTTGTCTGTACGTCAGCAATACCTTTCTGACCCATTTAACAAAAATGAATGAAAGTTTACAACAAAAAGGGAGAACAATTATCAAACCAAATATTTATTCCTAATTTGTTCTTTTCGTTGTTCCATATTTGTGATTGTGCAGCTAGGCGTCCGGTCAGCTCCTCGCATTCATGACGTAATTCACCTGAACAATTTCATAATTAAAGGGACTGTTGTTGGAATTACAAGTAACCCTCTAAATAAGGATATACTCGATTGACATCTGTAACGTTTAAACCTTTATCAAAATTCCGGAAGATATCGTCATTTATTGTTAAGAAAGTGTTTATTTCTGACAATTTTTTTCATTGTTTCCAAACCATTAATGAATCACAATTCTTTACCCTTTAAACTGTTATCTAAGTAAATAAATCTTGCAACTTGAATAACAAAAGTTAATATTTTTTTCTTTCCGGTTATTTTAACCACTTAACTTTCACATTTATCTCTCTGGAAGGAGTAGATTCATTTGGTGTAGTATTCTGAATTTATACTTTGCAACTTGCACAGTACTGTAAATGAACTGGAGTTTTTATTCCTTTTGTTTCTCTGATATTGATTTAAAGAATTTAAAATACAACTCTGTGAGTCATTGATGACACTTTTTCTGTAATGAATTGCTAAGAGATGTGAAGAGATTTGTAATTTTTACCAACAAGTTTGCTCTGGTTGTTCATAAGTTCTGTTTTGTGCTTAATCTGCTCCTTGAGTATATTCTCCCTGTACTCCTGGTCCTGCTTGAGCTGGTGGATCTGATGGGAAATCTCTCTTTTCTCATCATCCTTCAATTCGGCAACCTCACGTTCAATTCTTTCTTTGCTCCTTGTCTAAAGAATGTCAAAGTGCAATAGAGATGATTGTAGTACAGTGCTACCCACAAAGGATGAGAGTTTATGACGACAGTCCGGTACAAAATATTTGTACTTTCTGTTTCCTTATATTCATGATTTCCTGCAACTGTGAACTTGTTACTTTATTTGACAAACATTAAATAAGCTATTAAAAGACTTCATTCAACATTAGAATCATCATATTTTTATAGTTTCAGTTCGTCTTTACAGTATAATCCTTTGTGGGTTTCTTTTTAAAGTACTGATGTAAAACTCTAGATCAAAAAATATACTGTAATAAGGATCAAGTGTTACACAAAACGAGAAACCAATATCTTTTTCTGAAGATCTAATGAGAATAAATTTGCAAACTAATAGATTTGGTTTCTTTTAATTTGGCGATAATTCAAAATTAAGGATCTATGAAGTTACACTATTATACCAGTCATTTCATCTAAATTTGACCTTTTATATTTGTCTATATTGCAGTACAACCTGGCTGTGTACCTGTATAAGAACTTGTGTTTCTAGATCTCCTACACTCTCCACGAGGTGAATATTCTCCTTCCGGCATTTCAACAGCTGATCCTCAGTCTCACGCAACCTCTCTCTATAACAAATTTATCAATTAAACGCAGCAGTTTACACCCAAAAGCATGGTTGGCAACACTGAAACTTTATTTCAGATGGTTCAAGATGCCTAACCAAGTGACCAGGTTTGTTCTCTTTAACGTCTAATTAGAATGTTGTCATGAGCAATCTTATATTCTGAAAGAGTGTAGGACAAATAACTGTTAATTAAATATTGTAAACCTTATTATGGACTTGACTCAAAAAATATTTTTAAACCTGAAGCTTTTTGACTCGGCCTGTAATCTTTCACATTCCAGCTTCACCTCCCCACATTCACGTTCAAATCTAAAATATGAAAATAGAATTAAATCACAAAGAACTTTTTCAATCCCTTTTTTTCCAACCAAGCTGGCAACCCCTCAATTAATTGCCAGCTGTTGGTTTTATTTAATTTTAAACTAGATTATATAATTCGCATTTTGTCATTTATTCCATAAATTAACATGTCAGAAAGGAATTGAGTCTTTGCCACACAATCAAATATTCTAATCTATATTTTCAATCTGATAGTGTTACTTACTTTCTTACTAGCGCTATCCCCAGTATTGGGTCAAGAGACCTCAACCTGATGGTGTACACCTTTATTACTTGATATGGCAGAATTCATTTAACAGAGTTAATTACCTTAGTTTAGCAGAGTTAATTACCTTAGTTTAGCAGAGGTAATTACCTTAGTTTAGCAGAGTTAATAACCTTAGTTTATCAGAGTTAATTACNAACATGGGATTTAGAGGGGGGGGGGTCAAATTGACCCCCCCCAGCGTATCCAGGTTTTCAAGTACCCCAGCGGGGATAGGGTTAATAACCTTAGTTTAGCAGAGTTAATTACCTTAGTTTAACAGAGGTAATTACCTTAGTACAGCAGAGGTAATTACCTTAGTTTAGCAGAGCTAGTTACCTTAGGTTAACAGAGTTAATTAACTTAGTTTAGCAGAGTTAATTACCTTAGTTTAGCAAAGTTAATTACCTTAGTTTAGTAGAGTTAATAACCTTAGTTTAGCAGAGTTAATTACCTTAGTTTAGCAGAATTAAGTTCTCTCTCAGCCTTGCAACGGGACAAATTTCCTTCAGCAAGCTCTGGTCAATTCATAAAATATTAGTGAGTAGAAATAAGAGATTAAATTTTTTAAAATTTTACATTTTTTACCCACGTGATGATCTTTTTAGATTATTTTTAAATGCTCTATTTGGTTGAAAAAAAAACTAAAAAGTCACGGTTGAGATTTCTATAATCATAAAGATAGTATTCACAATTTTTTGGAGGGAAGAGGGGTGGGGGGGGAGGGGGGGAGGCTACATTATTTTCCCATAAATTCTTATACTTTTGATTTACCTGTTTGCAATGCACCTAATCTTGTTTCCAGATCTTCTCTAACCTTCAAATAATAATAATATAAATGTTTTTGAGATTTCTTTCCTTAATGTAATTTGAGATTGTTAAATATGCGGAGAGCTGAAATTTTTTGAAGCGTAAATATCAAGATCAATGCTAAATCTCATCTTTTTATTATTCTGCAGATTAATTAAATCTGAATCTGACATTAATATCAAGAAAAGTATCTAAAATGCAAGCAATCAGTGTCGATTGGAGAAACGGAACAGCCAATAGAAGCCGAGAATTTTTGCGCGCAATTAATGAGATAATCTCATTGGTCAGAACCAACCAGGGATATCCAAAAGAGAGGATAAAGCAAAAAATTCAAAAGTGTCAACAGGGGATACCGAGATTTAGCAATATGGATTAAGATTATCTAATACAAAACATTTTAGCTCTGACAATTAGAGATAAATCAGCTAAACTTTTCTGACTTTTCATATGAAACGAAAGAGCAAAAATTGTATTATTTTACATTTATAATTTAAAACTTTTATAAAACACGCAGTTTTTTTTAAATTCTAGCACAACTCTACTTTTTGTTTAGAGCATGTAAGAATGCTATTGATCAGTTTTAAAACGAAGATAATTAATTTTTAACTAATCTAGGTCTAAATAATTGAACTTTAAATTTAGATATTAAAAAGGAAAAAAGAAAAGAAAAAAGGAGAAAAGAACTGCAATTTGAAAGAATTTCTTTAGTTTACACCTTAGTGGTAATTTAAATTTGAAATTTAAAAGTTAAAAAAGAAAAAAAAAACCTGTGAAATAATTTTCTCCTTGTCTTGAATCTGTCTCCGAAGATCCGCCTCTGACCTCTTTAACCTCTCTGATAGAGCAGTTAGACTACCAACCTCTCCACACTACAATAAAAGACATTAGTAAGCCTCTGAACTCTTTAACCTCTCTGATAGAGCAGTTAGACTACCAACCTCTCCACACTACAATAAAAGACATTAGTAGGCCTCTGAAATCTTTAATCTCTCTAATAGAGCAGTTAATACCAACCTCACCACGCTACAATAAAAGACATTAGTAGGCCTCTGAACTCTTTAATCTCTCTGATAGAGCAGTTACACTACCAACCTCTCCACACTACAATAAAAGACATTAGTAAGCCTCTGACCTCTTTAACCTCTCTGATAGAGCAGTTAGACTACCAACCTCTCCACACTACAATAAAAGACATTAGTAAGCCTCTGACCTCTTTAACCTCTCTGATAGAGCAGTTAGACTACCAACCTCTCCACACTACAATAAAAGACATTAGTATGCCTCTGAACTCTTTAATCTCTCTGATAGAGCAGTTACACTACCAGTACCAACCTCTCCACACTACAATAAAAGACATTAGTAAGCCTCTGAACTCTTTAACCTCTCCGATAGAGCAGTTACACTACCAGTACCAACCTCTCCACTCTGCAATATAAACCATTATTGGAAAGAGTTTTCAATATGTCTGAGAATACAGCTTCTGTCAGGGTCTAAATCCGACACAATTTAAGGAAAGTGAATGTTTTGAATAATAAATTTGAAAACATTTACATCTCTTTTATTAGTCCAAATTTTGACCCTGATAAAAAATGTAGGCCAAAAAGGACTCAAAAACTGATAAAATGAAAGCACCACCACATCCTTTCCAATCAGCAATTACATCACACAGCCATAACATTTAAATAAAACGAAAATTTTGATTAAAGGCGCTAATTTTCTTTGTTAAATTTATTTTATGTTATTGTTTTAGGACTTAAAATGTATCTATTGAAACGAAACGTAATATTGTGTTGTTAATCCTTTTGTATCGTTTTCTAAGTGTCGAATTTGGCATTGTATTAAAAAAGCAATTATTTTTAAATTGTTTATTCATATATTTGATTGGTTTACACTCTATGCCTTAACTACTTTAAACCCTGATAGAAAATATTTAGAAAAAAACGGTCCTAAAACGGTCCTAAAACGGTCCTTAAACAGTCCTAAAATGGTCCTAAAACGATCCTTAAAAGGTTCTAAAATTGGATAACTTTAAATTTTATCTCCTACGAGGAAAAGAAATTTGTAATTTATTTATTTTTTAAATATTTTTGTTAATTCTCCTCTTGTGTATGCAAACACACGACCCATATACTCGATGCAAAAATAAAGGTGTTTTAACGATCAGTTTTGCGGATCGTTTTGCCTTTTTATATTTTTTTTCAGGATAAAACTATTTAAAAAGTTTATTAAAAGCAAACTTAACAATAGAACAGTTTTGAAATCTTGAAAGTTTATAAATAAAAAAAATATGAGAACAGTAATAAACACCACGTATATATATCCGCACCCCCCCCCCTATATCACATGCTTTATCATTAAATCATAAACATCTCGAGAATGGGATGATTAACTTGATATTCTGTACCGTTTTGCTGTTTAGTCTATAAATATATTTGTTTAAACTTTAGCACTAGCTGCCTAAAAATCGGTCTGCTACTTCAAATGATCAAGAGTTTTTAGTGAAATCACTGTAAGTTCCGATTCATTTGAAGTACCGAAGCAGCTACAGAAAGTTGTACAATATTTGAACATGCAAAACGGTACAGTAAAACAATATCAAAATATGATGGCCACCTGCTGTGTGATTTGTTGCCTCAGCTGTTCCACTTCCGTCTTCCATCTTGTTTCTATCAATCCTCTCTCCTGCTCTACCTTTAAAACCTGAGAAAAAAACGTTTGAGTCTAAAATCTCCGTCAGAGCGGAAAATTGTGGATCTCCTCTTTTGTTAATCTTCATATTATTTTAATCTTTAGTTTGTACCCAGGAAAATTTCTAAAATGCAACCAATCAAACTGACGATGCAGAATCCCGCGGCGGCTAATCAGAAGCCAGGAAATTTGAAATTTTGCGCGCCATTTAATGAAAGATCTCTTATTGGTCGGAATCTGGCAGAGATTTCTAAAAAGAGAGAAAAAGAGCGGATTAAGTAGAAATCAAAAGTTTCCACATTGGATATTCAGATTAAGCGATTCGTATTAGCGGTATCTAATTCTAAAGTTCAGAGGCATAATTTTAAGAGTTTAATACGCATCGCTGAACCTCCAAAAATCGGTTTTGATTAAGTGCCCACTCACATCTCAAAACACTGAATACAATTTCAAATGGAACAAACCCTGTTTGATCCGCTGCTCAAATTTGAGACATGGCTCAAATTCTTTAAATTCGGCCTTAGGGCTACCAATCCCATTCCAGTGATTTTTTTGCTGAAGTTAAAATACAAGTTTCGCTTTCTAATCTAACAACTATTTTTCTCTTTATTACGGATATATCGTAAGAATAAGAATTAAAAAAAAAACATACATTGGGTACCTTTTAAACCTTTATCTGATCAATGATGTTAAAAATGTCGTCGGTTTTTTTTGTTTGTAAAGTGATTAATTCTGATATTTTTTTATTGTTTCTTAAAATTGGGAAGTAAATTTTATGATAAACCCCAAATTAAAAATAATCTTTAAACAGCTTGAAATTACAACTATACATTTCCTTTAAAAGACTATATTTTCTGGCAGAAGATTTTAGGTCGTCTTCATATATATTCTGCGTAACGTAAGCCTTATATACATGATCTTCAATAAGATTTTTAGGTCGTCTTCATATTCTGCGTAACATAAACTTTACAGGCATGCCAACTTTACATACCTGATCTTAAATAAGATTTTAGGTCGTCTTCATATTCTGCATAACGTAAACTTTACAGGCATGCCAACTTTACATACCTGATCTTCAATAAGATTTTAGGTCGTCTTCATATTCTGCGTAACGTAAGCCTTATATACCTGATCTTCAATAAGATTTTAGGTCGTCTTCATATTCTGCGTAACGTAAACTTTACAGGCATGCCAACTTTACATACCTAATATTCAATAAGATTTTAGGTCGTCTTCATATTCTGCGTAACGTAAGCCTTATATACCTGATCTTCAATAAGATTTCGTATTCTCTGCTGCTGTCTTTCCACCTTAATAATTCATACATTTGAATATAAGGATTATTTTGGGGGGGGGGGAAGGGGTTCAAGGGAAAAATGTAATTTTTATATCGGAAAGGTTAGCTAATGTACTAGCCATAATAGATTTAAGTTTGACATCATTCTCATGGATTCGAAGATAAGCGTTAGTCTAATAATATTTTATTCCTTATACGTGACTAGATTAAAAAGTTTTGTCTTCAAGGACTGGACACTTCAAAAACATAATAATGGAAGGACAAGGATTTCGAAGTGGCGCGGACGGAGAACTTGTTGTGGTTCTTCTTCCTCCCCTTGTACACTAGTTTTGGCTCAAATGTAGTCTATATATTCCTGAGCGTGTAGGTGAGCCACCTCAAACTCTATCTCTGATTTCTCTGCCCTCAGCTGTTCTGCAACCTAAAAAAAACCATCATGCCACTCTATAAATCAAGCATTACTCTTTCAATTATAAGGGGTCACTAGAAATTTCTACAGAAATATCAAAGGTTTACAACATCAGGTTACAGAAAAAATTTAAAAATCAGAGTTTGTAAAATAGACTCAATTCCCTAAATGCACGGTAGTGTATTTAATTTCTGAATTTCTGAATTTTCCCATAGTAAAAATTTTTCTACATTTTATTTTATTAATCTGCAAAAATATATAATTAGCAAATTTTCCACCAATTAAGCAATAACTCAGATTTTATTACTTTTAAATGTTCATCTAAAAAAACATTCTCTGTTTACCTGAATACTTTTGGATACTTGAGCCGCTGCTTCTTCTTCTCTTATCTAGGGTTTAATTACATGTTTATTTTCAGACGTGTATTCTGGGGGTGGCTATGTTACAAATTAATAACTTATCACTTTATTGTTCCTCATAATACTACATTTTGAAAATCTTAATCCAAACTTTTGAATTATTATTTAGCTCTTCATTTTAGATAAAAATGCAACCAAGTCAAAATAAATGCCTTCTCTTAATATTTTTAATAAATAAAATAGTAGTTTTATAAATTCAAAGTTTTATTATTATTAATAACCCCTCAAAAATGTTAACCTGTAACTGTTCCATCTGCTTCTTCAGTTCCTGTAAATCCCCAGGGTTAGGATCAGCTAAATATTTTAATCCAGGATCAGCTAAACCACCTACTTTAGGATTGACTTCAACTAAAGGATTAACTCTCCTGCTCATATTCTCCGTCTGTGACCTGCAAAGAAAATTTTAAACTTTGTACAAACGGTAAATTGTAAAACAAACTGATTTTAATTTATTCTATCCGATTTAACTCATTTCTCAATTTTGTCATTACTTTTGTTGTAGCTAACTTCCTCTTAAAGAAACTAATTTTAATTAATTTAAATCAAAGCCATCAAAAGTTTTGAGCTCCGAAAAAGGTTAAAAATCCATTGGTCTAAAAAGTCAAAAATCTTTCTATTCAACTGATTAATATTGAAAGACTAAAAAGTTAAAAAAGGCAAAATAAGAGAAAATTAAAATGATTTTGATTGTCATGAACCTGATATTCTTTTCATTTCCTGTTTCCTTGATCTCTAGCAATGTTTCAAATTCAGCTGCCAGAGCCTGTAATCCAAGCAGAACTGCTGACATCTTAATTATCATTCAATTAATCAATTCATCAGAAAACAATCAAACATGAATAAAATTTTAAACCAAAAAATTTAAAAAACAACCTTTTTTAAAAAAATTGGTTTAATTCAACAGACAGAACGCCAAGTACGAGAATTAATCAATCTTTCCAGACAAGTAACCAAATTTTATTTATCAACAACATTTTTCATTTTAGTAAATATATGAAAGTTTTATAATCGAAACTGAAAAATTTTATATCTGTTGATTAAAAGAGACTTAGAATTGATCTTTTTAAAAATACCTGCAAATCATTTGATTCAATTAAAATTTTCTGTTTAAAAATTTAAAATGGCGGTTTTGTTGGAAATTTCTTTATCCCTTGCAAAATGACATCGTTCAATTTTGTCAACAAATAAAAGGCAAAAATGGTGGACATTCGGCTGAATTTCCACGTGGATGAGAAGAGGTTGCAATTTGCAAGCTACCTGTGTAAGCTGGGATCTCGTGAGCTCAGTTTCCATTTCCAATTGATGAATATATTTTTCCTGAAATAAAAACATTTTCGAATTGGTAATTAATTAAACAATATTATTCTGAACAAAAATATTTAGATTTTGAATTGCTCTCAGAGCAGGACTGGAGCTCTAAGAGCAGAAACATATAAATACCTTATTAACAAGTGCTCTAAGGGCATGATGGGATAAGTATCTGTCTATGAAAAGTTCTCTAAGATCAGGACTGGTTTAATACCTTTCTGTGAACAAGTGCTCTAAAAGCAGGAATATATAAATACCTTTTTAACAAGTGCTCTAAGGGCATGATGGGATAAGTGTGTGCACAAGTGCTCTAAGAGCAGGACTGAATAAATACCTGTCTGTGAACAAGTGCTCTAAGGGCAGGACTGGACGATGGAGAGTGATGTCTCAAATGCTCAGGAGAGATTAACTAAAACAAACAGAAGTTTAAATATATTGGTCCCCAGAATAATCTAAACCACAAATACGACTTTTGATAGATTTTTTTTTGAAGGAATAGTTTGAGACAGCGTTTTACAATTGACAACAGGATAAAACAAGGCTTCACATGGAAAAAAGATGTAAATGAAGAAAAAATAAATGCAAAGGCGATTCTATCAATACAATGAAGACAACTTTTCATTTAAGTTTGACGGTTAACAAGTTTATTTCGAATTACACGTTTACAAGTACAATCAAAGAGAAGCTTTTTTAATTGACAGCTTCTCTGGACTTCTATGTTTATGTGTATTCAATATTCATACTCTCTAACAGGTTGATATAAATCAAAATTGAAATCGAAGTCGTCTTCATTTCATTTTATTGATATAATCGCCTACCACAGTACATATAATTCACGACTCACCTTATGTTCAACAGGCTGAACAAACTGGTTCTGGAAAATACCGGTGTTGCTGCCATAATTGTTTTTAAACAGGGTTGGATCTCTAGATGGAGGGTAGGGTTCTGGTATTCTTGATACTCTAGGACTACCTAGATTTTAAAAATACAGGGTGTCCCATTATCAGATTGGATTATCTCCAAGATTTAACGTCGAAACACGCACAGATACTTCACGAATTTAGAATTTTCTGAATGCAAATTTTTATTTTAGCCTTTTGCAAATTTTTTTAAAGATTTTTATTTTTTATTGCTTATTACTACCGGATATAGCAATTAAGAGTATTTCACGATCCAATACGATATGGGACACTCTGTACTATATAGGTGATGATAACCATAATAGAATAATAGAATAATAGAATAATAGAATAATAAAATATAATAGAATAATAGAATAATAGAATAATAGAATAGTATAATGATAAAATAATAGAATAAACATCATCTTCGTTCAGTTTTATAGGTTCAATCATAGAAACATCGTGAAGGATTTTGTAGCTGTGAGAAATTTTCTGAGATAAATCAATCAATTTAACATCTTTAGCAAATTGAAAGGTTGAAAGCAAAAACTAATTTTATTCTTCTAACTCATGTAAAACTTAAGAAAATCTGACGGAAGATTAAAATCAAACACGTTTTCAATCATAATTCCTTTTTTAGTGAAAAAAATTGAAAAGAATTTGAAAAGAACACTTCTAATTTGTACCCGGATTAATTTGTAACTGGATCAATTTGTAACCGGATCAATTTGTAACTGGAACAATTTGTACCCGGATCAATTTGTAACCGGATCAATTTGTAACCGGATCAATTTGTAACCGGATCAATTTGTACCCAGATCAATTTGTAACCGGATCAATTTGTAACCGGATCAATTTGTAACCGGAACAATTCGTACCAAGATCAATTGGTAACCGGATCAATTTGTAATCAGATCAATTTGTAACTGGATCAATTTGTAAATAGATCAATTTGTAATCAGATCAATTTGTAACCGGATCAATTTGTAACCGAATCAATTTGTAATCAGATCAATTTGTAACTGGATCAATTTCTAACCAGATCAATTTGTAACCGGATCAATTTGTAACCGGAACAATTTGTAACCAGATCAATTTGTAACTGGCTGGATCAATTTGTAACCGGATCAATTTGCTGCATCTCATACTATGTGCACAACATAATGAGATGCGAGATTACAAAGGCGTACCAGTTACTAATCATTTGTAAAACTTCTAAGATTTGTTGTGAAACCTTTAAAAAGTCCAAAAATACTAAAAAAATAAAAAAAACTATCTCTGAAAATTCTTAGGGTATACGTTTACTTAAAAAATACTTTATCAACAGAAAAGGTAAAATCAGAATATGGAGGACAAAAAGAAAAAAATTCCAATGAATACAATTGAAACCTGTGTTTTCTAAGTAAAGCTGTTGTGAACCAAACAATTCCCGGCGCTTCTCATCCCTGAAATTATCATTTTACAGGGTGTCCCAATTTAAATATGACAATTAAGTGAACACTTTTTTATCTTATTCCATCAATGTGGTATTCAGTTACTATTCGAACGTTGCTAAAAGCAATTAAGAAAATTTTCCCTAATTCTGGGATTTCCAAAATGTAGTCTGCCTGCATTGTATATGAAAAATTTAACCGGAGTACGGTGGTAAGCAATATTATCTATATAATAAAGACGACTTTTTTATTTAAGTTTTAATTTTTTGTTAGCTTTTTTGAGTTACAAGTTTACAAGCAAGTAAAGAGAAGCCTTTTTAATTGACAACCTTCTCTTTGTTTCCATTTTTTAGTGTATCCTTGCTGTGTAAAACTTGGATATCAACCAAAATTGAAATCTAAAGTCGTCTTTATTAAATTGAAATAATCGCCTACTACCGTAGTAAAATGATTTTTGATATATTATGATATAAGTTACAAGATCTTTATCGTGTTTTACTAAATAAAGACGACATCTAGGCCATATTTTGGAAAGTCCGAATGAGCTGTGCAACCTAAATTAGGTTTTTTGGAACATTTCTGATACTTTAAATTTGAGTATTTCCAACCTGGTCGATTTTTCGGAGAGATTTTCACTCGTATTCGTCAAATTATGCCATGAATTAACTCGTCTTTTCATCTGAAATTATTCAACAAAATTTTAAAATATACAATTTAGTTATTTTACTGTACTGTACCTTATTTTCCTGTGGTATTGTGCCAAAAATCTTTCTTGTGTTTGGTTTTGGTGGCATTTTCTTATACCTTCCACCTTCAGAGCCGCCTCCGTCTTTACCTTAGAAAATGTATTCAATTGGTTTTTATTATTTAAATCTACTTCATAGAGAAGTTAAGGGAATTTTACTTTACCGAGGGTTCTCAAGACCAATTTTGCCTACAAAACATCAAGAGCGCAGCGGCCAGCGAGGGATGTTTTCTATGCAAAATTGGTCGAGGTAACATGGGAAAGTAAAATTTTTAATTTGCCGAAAAAGTAGGTGTGCACAATTTTATCGTATTTTGAGATGAAATTGAGCATTTTTTTTCAAAAAACTGTAGAGCGGGTCGTTATTTTTCTTAATTGTCGGAAAGGACGTAAAGTAACTTAACCTCCCTCTTTAGGGGTAATCATAGGTCGGTAATGTTGATGAAAAGGTGGAGACATTGTTTAATTGAGCACAATAACATCTAAGTGTCTTGTGTTTATTATCTATAGCAAATATATTCTCGCACAAAGTAGAATATATAAACTCTCAGTACAGCTGTATTCTGACGTCAAAAGTGTCAACTCATTTTTTTTTGTCTGACAAAACTATTAATAATAGTGATAATTGTAGACTAAAGTGCTTATCTTACATTAAAATCAGTAAAATTTCTTGTGTTCTTTATTTTCTGTTTTTACACTTTTTTATTTAATCTTGGAAAACATAGTATCTAATGTTTAGTTTTCTGGTGACTAATGTTTAGTTTCTAGTGTCTAGTGTCTAGTGTCTGGTGTCTAGTGTCTAGTATCTAATGTCTAGTGACTAGTGACTAGTGTCTAGTGACTAGTGTTTAGTGACTAGTGTCTAGTGACTAGTGTCTAGTGACTAGTGTCTAGTGACTAGTGTCTAGTGACTAGTGTCTAGTGACTA